AAGAGGCCGCCCGTGCTCTATCGGAGAAGGACAAACAGTGGTATGGGATCGACGTCGAGGAGGGAAGTGACGAAGGCTACGGCTGGACGGACGGGAAGCACTTTGATACTGCCAGCCGAACTGCGGTCCCGGTGGACATTGCTTTACCAGAGCAGGAACGCACGGCGTCTGCACCCATCAGGGGAGGTGGGTATGGCAGTCTCGGGCGCACTGTGCACCGCGCAATGTCAAGACTTGGTTCGCCCGCTGCTTCCGGCATTCTATCGCCGAACTGGAGTTCAAGGAGTAATGTCATGCGCAAGGATGAGTTCTTGTCGAAAATCCGCGCGACGGTACGGCAAGTTAGCGATAAGTACCTACGCGGCTGGGAGTCTGGTAACACTGGTGGACGGCCAACCATTTCGAAGCCCACATTGATTTCTGCGCCGCCAGGTGTTGGTCTCCCTAGTGTGAACGAACCGTTTGACAAGGCGAACATTGGAATCGTAGGATACCTCCGCAACTCGGTCATGTCTCTCGGGCGATCGCCGTCCTCTTCGACTAATGCTACTGGTGAACGTTCCATACCTCGCCGCCGCGCAGACTTTGCACCTCCTGGGCGAGAAAATACAGGTGGTATCAAGGTTCCTCAGAAAACTCACGGCCGGCAGTCGAGGAAGGCCGTCAGGCCCCTGCATAGGCAAAGCAACTCGCTCGAGTCTGTGGCGTCTTATGAGGGCGAGGCGGTGGTGCAGACAGCGACGAGGGCGATGAGTGTACGGAGTGCGAGGAGTATCAGCGGAATTTCGCACTACTCCCACCAAGAAGGCAGTCCTGCCATCTCTGCGCGCCCGCGCCTGGTTCCGTTTACTAGTGCAGCGAGGGTGCCGGTGCCGACGCTGCCCATCCTCAGTCCGAACTCCACTGCGGCGAAGACAGTGACCAAAGTCACGACTCACTCGCCGAAGCGCGTGGCCAGTCAGAAGGCGGACGTGCTGATCTCCCCTGGGGATAGCGGCGATGATTTGGAGATTGGCGTGCAGTATGTCAAGGCACTCGGCGAGGAGACGAGTATAAGGGATTCCCTGGGCACAGGCGGTGCCAAGTCGGTATTCTCGCTTGAGTCATCGGAGCAGGGACATAAAGACATGGTCCAGCGCATCCTTTTACGTTGTGGAGAGTCCTTCCGCTTCGTCATTCCTATCACGGCGTCGTATTCTGGTGGTAAGATCGTGGCGAGGATGAGAGATGGAACCGGGAACGCTGCGCCTGCGTTCTTGCGTTATACGTTGAAGGCGAATGGAATGGGCAAGGGCAAGGAGGCGGTTGAGTTCTGGGGCACGCCCGGTGTGGATGACCTCGGGGAATTTGCCGTCGGGCTTTATGTTGGCTCGGGTCAAGGCGAGTGCGTTGGGCGCGTGGATGTTGAGATTGTCAGACGCAGCTGAGTGGCGTAAAATGGGATAACCTTGGTTCGGATAAGCATGTATTGATGATACCGCATTTGTAGCGCTAGTTTTCACAGATGTTAGTTGTGTATCCACACATGTAGTATACTCACTCTCCTTACTATACCCTAATGTCACATCTTCATAATCTTGATCTGAGACGAACGACATCGGGTTCGCTGTCTCCTTCCAGCCCTTGATACTTCCTATACAGTGATCTGGTATGACATGAAACCTCGAGGGTGAACCGGTGATGTTCCGTCCTTGGCAGGCTACCTGCGGACAATTCTGACAGCACCTGTCTGCGGGTGTGCCTACTTCTACTTTTCCCATACCCAATTGAACCTGATGATACGGGGTAGCATGCTACCGTTGATGAGAAGTACTGTCGAATATAATACATCAATGATATAATACAAGCAGCGCAATACTGAAAACAAAGTCGTAATAAACAAGAAGAAAAACCCAAGTCCTGCATGGTAAGTCGATCCACTATCCCGACTTCGGGCTCACCCCTCTGGGAGTCGAACTCCCGCTCCTCATCCGCTGCGTCGGACTCGTCGGTACCGCCATAGGCTGAGGCGGTAGTCCAGCAACCAGATACACCGGCATTGCAGGCTGCAGCGCCTGCACGGGCGATGCGGAACCGTGCCCTTGCTGCTGCTGACCCTCCTGCGCACCCTCAGCTGGCCTCATCGTCGGCGACATAGGCCCAGGAACCAAGTACATTGCTTGCGGCGGCGACGGCGAGAACGTATAGCCATACGGATATGATATCTGAGCATGGTGATGTGGATCCATGAACGCCAGGTGTGAATGCGAGGGCGAGGTGATGCCGGGCATAGGCGGGACAGGACTTGTTGTGCGCGAGAAGGAGTACGAGCCCGAGGCATACGAACGCGTATGTCCGGTGTACGAGCGCGGCGGGCGGCGCGGACGACGAGTAGGGTTGCTCTGCGACGCCGTACCCGAGCGCTGCGTCCGCGAGCGGTGTGGCTGATGATGTGAATGCTCCCTATGGTGCGTATCGACCGTTTCATCAAACGTTGTCCTTGTCGTGCGCGTCGTGCGGCGCGACTGCAGGGGGATATCCCGCTCCCCGCTGAGTAAATCAACGTCCTTGTGTTTGCTCGTGTACCACGTCTTGTTCTGTTCACGCTCACGGTAGCGAGGGTAAAGATATCGGCTGCGTGGGTTCTCGCCTGGGAAATAGTCGACGGCGACGCGCCCTGTTGACGGGGCAACCCAAGGTAGTCCACTAAGCCCCTTGAGGAGGCGGTGGGCGCGAGTGAGATACGAGGTGATCGAGGGAGCCGTGGGTGTGTGTGGTGGCGTCGGCATCTTGTCGTAGTCTGACGTCGGACGGAGGTTAGGACTGGCGAGGTCGAGGGGAGGCGCGGGCGCGTTCGTGACGATACCACTCGGGCCAGGCACAGGGTCTTGGTGGACTACTGTCGATGACACGTCGCCGTTGACATGGGCGATCGCATCCTCGGGTCGCCTCTGCGAGTGGTGAGATGAATGCTTCGACAACGCTGGTGTGTGCGCACGGTGCTCGATGGGCACGTCTATGCTTTGAGCATAACTCATCTGCGAGCTGGGATCAAATTGAGGTGCACTGAACCCTGGATACTCTATGACAGGAGGCCGGCGACTCCTCAAGACCGCTCTCGGGAGCTTCTTCAAGCCTGCGAAGAAGCCCCCCACGAAGCGCCCCTTACCAGCTTTAGCTTGCGCGTCCGGCGGCAGGCCCGCAGCATCTCCCACCTCATCCACCTCTTCAATTCCTTGCTCTCCCATCATGTCCGGTTCGGCGTCCATGTACTCAAACTCGGGCTCTCCAGCCTCAGATCGCCCGCGAGTCCTAGTAGTCATCGCAGGAGACGGCGCCCGAACAGCATCTGGCGGGGGCGAATACTGCTGCTGTCCGTTGTGATCCCAACTCGCAAAATCGTTCTGAGTGTCACGCGACGTAGGGCCAGGAGAAGGAACACGGTAAGGAGTCGGAGGTGCCGGATATTCGGGGTACGGAACCCATGTCCCATTGCTCGCGTAGCTTGCTTGCGTACGTCGCGAATGCTTGGAAGGTCTGTGGCGGTAGAAGCTATCTGAGGCGGCATAGCTGTCGGCTTGACGGGGGTAAGCAGGTTCCAGGCGGGTGTCCAGATTGCGGGAATCGATAAAGTCGGACATGAGAAGGAGCGTACAGCAATTGTAGAGCCAGTCTACGAGGAGACAAAGGCGGGCTGACTGGCTTATAAGCGGCGATTTAAGGAAGTCAACGTGGGCAGGAGCAGAAGACCATGCACAAAGCAGTTCGGGCAACAGTCTTAGGGGGAAGGCCCCGCGCAGTGCGTACACGTGTTGGAACATTCATTTCGTGGATCGTGGCAAGAGCGCAGCTAGATATAACAGAGTGCCCTTCCATTGTCAGATAGTTGGCGAGATAATGCAGCAGAAACGCGACCAAGCCAGGCAAAAGGGCTGACGTAAGCAGTATTGCGGGATGTCGGCCTTGTCCTCGTCTGCATTCCACGCCAACGTCCTGTCTGCGTATAATAGTCCCTTTGGGCCCCCCACGCTCCTTTCCTTCTTGTATTCTCGTCCTGATGTCCTATCCTGCTGCCATGCACTGTCCCGAGTCCTCTTCTGATAGTCGGCTGGAGCAAGACCAAGATATGAGCCATCCGTTCAAGAACAGCAACAGTCTCCTGGTCCGTATTCCTAGCGGAATCGACGTAGAGGAGGAATCGAGGTTGTATGATGAGCTTTGTGATGTGAGTGTCCTTGAATTCTCAGACGTCTAGCCGCATCTTACTCTCTGTTAAGGTTCCCGACCGCACCTCATCCCCGCCAGCTTACACCTCTCCTCCCAACTCACCTTTGAACCGTCGTCGTCCACGGCCCGCCTCTGTCTTCTCCGCCAACGATATATGGCTCGCCGACCATGTTGGAGAGAACATGGCCTTTGCGAGGGATGTAAAGATCAGTGGATGGACGAATGTTGGAGATAAATTAGGAGGCGCTTATGTCGGTGCGTGCTCGCATCACACCAATTGGCAATTCGCTGATGGCACACGACTCGCAGTCTACGACTGCGTGATAAAGACAAAGGAGGTACGTCCGTAAGATATCAAATCGCGTACTTCGATCAAACGACCTGGACAGGGAACCGTCATCCACGCCCACAAGCGCTACTCCGACTTCGAAAAGCTCTACTCCAACCTCCTAATAACCCTCCCCGTACGTCTTTCCCTCTCCTCACCCCCGCCTGCCTTGCCTACTTTACTTGTTCACTCACCGTTTCCCTCTAGCGTGACCTTCGTCATCTTGTCCCACCTATCCCACCCAAGTCCGCTCTGGCAAAGTATCGCCCTACATTCCTCGATAAGCGTCGTAGGCTCTTGGAGCATTGGCTTGCTGCTATTTTACTGCATCCGGATATTGGCGGGTGCAAGGCGGCGGGAAGATGGGTCATGGAGTAGAGATTCTGTATTCAGTACTTTTCCTTGAACTATTTCCGCAACGGAGTTGATAGAGGTATTACTGACATTTGGGTGGTGCTTAGATTGTGGCTCAGTGGTCTAGTAGTATGATTCTCGCTTCGGGTTTCCCGACTTTATGAAGTTGAGCATGCGAGAGGTCCCGGGTTCAATTCCCGGCTGAGCCCCTATTAAGTTCTTCATGTTTTGTATCGGTTGCATTGTTTGTCGAAAGAAAGTTATCGCATAGAATGCTCGAGTTTTCAGATAAAGCTTAACAAATGCGCAAACAAAAAAAATTAGGGCCTTGTTTTAATCAGGCGGGTGTTGCACCGTCTCGTTTTCAAATTCCAAACCTTTGATGCCGCGGCCACCATGATGGCAGCTGTATCGCAGGCACCGTGATGGCGCCTTGGGGTTAGAGGCGAGAGAGTTGAAGGAGGCGTCCTAAGGCCGAAAAAGACTCTGCGGCAGTTTCCTTTACCCTGACCCAACACCGGACTCTCGCGAGCTACAGGGACCTCTGCAACGCGAGCTTCGGAGGACTGGATGACACCATATCCAGACGGTAGGATAAGAAGTGTAGGGCACGAACGTTCCACACCTAGACGGGGAGATGACGAGCAAGCCAAGCTTGCCTCCTCAAAATGAAATTTTTCAAGTGGATTCAGGCAAAGCGAGAATGCCAAGGGGAGGCGGGTAGAGCGCTTTTATTGAATTATTTGAGGATATGCTGTTCTTGTATTTTAATCTCTCTGGGTCGTAAAATTGCTCTACAGGCAAACTGGCGCTGGTGGCGACTGAGCAAAGCAGCGCCACAGGAGCATGCCAAATACGACCAAACTGATGCATCTGCCGGGCGAGAATGAATACACAAGAGAGGACGAAGCTTTCCTCTTGACAATGACTGTGTCCTCTTCCACTGTTACTAAACGTCTACACATCTCGGGTGTAACTCCTTCCATCAAGCCAGAAGACCTCGCAGCGCGTTTTCAAGCATTCGGCGTCAATGCAACGTCCGTGGAGGGATTCGATAAACTGGACGCAGTCGGGCAGCCGAGAGGGTACGGTTATGTCGAGGTGGTCGGAAAGGAGGAGGGCGTGAAGCGGTGTGAGTAAATTTCTGTCCCTTCTGCCCACGGGTGCGGTAGGTATTGACGGAGTTTGCAAGGACAGGTATAACAGCTCTCAGCGGGACTATATGGAAGGGCGCCAAATTGCGCATCGGGGACGCCAAGCCCGACTTTCGCGAGCGGTACGTATCAGTAGCAATGCGCTTTCCTGAAATTTGATTCTTATCACCATGCGCATACTAGACTGGAGCGCGACCGCAACACCGAACCCAAGCCGCGCGTCAAGCGCCGGCGCGTGCATGCCGTCCACGCGCCTACTTCCGACCTTGTCACCCCTGACGCGGCGAAGGACAAGAAGGGATACCGTGTAACAGAGACGGGGCGCGTCGTCACGATTGTACGAATGCGCCCTGCACATCCGCTAGGCCCGACAGTTGACGCTGCGAAGGCGTCAAAATCCTTGAATGCTGGGAAGGGGAAGAAAGAGAAGCGGGGTAAGGGGAGGAAGAAGGACCCACCGGGCCGCGCGAGGAGGAGAACGATTGATATGGTGCGGTATGGGAGTGTGTACTTGAAGGGGGCGTGGTTGGGTGAGAGTGGGGTGGTCGGCGGGACGCGCGGTGAAAGTGAGGTTAGTGGACCTATGGATGAGTTGGATTTGGGGAGTAGCGAGGCTAGTGACAGCGAGGATGAGGAGGGTGGTGAGGAGAGTTCGGGTGAAGACGGGGAGGAGAGCGAAGAAGAAGAAGCACCACTTCCTCGACCACTCTCCTCTGTCTATGATAGGCCGTCCTCTACCCCAACTGTCGCTCCTACTACGTCGGACGACCTCGCCCAAGAAAAGACCACCACTTTAGGTCTTCTCCAGTCTCTGTTCGGAGACAAAGACGAGTGGGGAGGGAGGGCAAGTCTTTCGGATATCGAAACGGAAGACATAAGGGTGGACGCAAGTGAGAAAGTGGAGGAGCTGGCTGGCGACGAGGAGGATGAGGGCGAGGATGCTGATATGGAAGACGCCGACGAGATGGAGGAGCAACCCGTGCAAGTGGCGGAGGTTGTAAAGAAGGACGAGATTGCACCGGTGAAGGATACGGAGAAAAAGTCTGATCGGAAGTCGACGAAACTCAAGGACCTGTTTGCTCCGCGCGAGGAGGAAGGTAAGACGCCCCTTCCTCTCCGCTGCGGGTACCAATCAACTACTTTTCATACTAATCTACGATACATATAGGAGGATTCTCACTTCTAGGTCATCTCGACCTCGATCTGGAGCTAGATGAAGACTTCTCCATACCACTCGGAACGGCTGACGAAGGCGTTGAGCAACCACCAGTCGCGCCCGTCCATGTTCCTTTGACCATCCCACCTCAGTCCCGCAGCAGAAACCAGCCACTGACTCTCGACCCTACGCAGCCGCTCTTCTTCCCGCTGCCTCTTTCCTCGAGCACCGGTAAAGGCAAAGGCAAAGCCAAGGACTTCCTCGACGTGTTTGAGGAGCGCGGCTGGGGAATTGGTGATTTTGCGAGAAGAGAAGAAGAGGAGGATGGGGGCAAATGGGAAGAGGAGGCGAGGAAGCGGTGGGAGGAGGAGAAGGGCGAGCTGACGAGAGGGTGGAAAAGGAGATGGAGGGAGGCGGGGAAGGTGAGGAGACGGAGGGGAGGTGGCGATGGGGACCTATGAGGTGCGATGCAAAAACAATGATGTCAGATGAGTTGTGCATCTGGTACAGTTGTACCCGAGCCCTTTCTGTGCATGTATGCGGTACTGCGAAGGATCTGTTTGTTGGGTTTGATACATAGGATTTGCATCAAACTCAAGAGATAGGCCCTCGTACCAGCTCGCAGGCTTGTATGATGTGTATCATGGTGCGCTGATCATCATACATACTGGTCAAAGCGGAGGTCCCTCCTTACACCTCAAGACCGATGACAGCTCTGTTTTGCGATGGCCTTTGTAAGCTCCATGGGCCTCGTTCTTCCTCCTATTACCGCACCGTATTAACAGGACCACATTCATGCCAGGTGGGCTCTGTTAATCAGAACAGCGTCTATACTCTGCACTGGAAGCGGTCGTAAACCCAACCGGCCGATTCATGGCTCCCTCATGTCTGGATAGTCGTGATCGGACTCGGCCATGCATATGAAGGCGGTGCTCGGACGATCACAACGGAATATGGATCTATGCGTTGTCATGCCTGTCGATCTATGTAGGTGGTCGCGGGTGGCGATACTTGCTGTGAGCGCTGCTGTCAATCTGTCGAAGCGGTGTTGGCATTATAATCTCATTCTCCTGTTCGTTGTGGCGTCTCTGTTTCTCGTCGTCTGCGTACTGATATCTATTCGCGTCCTTGTGATCCTATAGTTCCCGACGATCTGCCGGCTCAAGAGTATAGACTGATAGTCGCCATCCAACTCCCATCAGGGGCACACAAGCCTTCCTGTCGACTTATAATCTATCCATGAACGCAGCCTTCTCATGCTAGTATCAGGGGTTCCAATGTGCCGATGATCAAGAGAAGGAAATCAACGGTGGCTCGCTCATCGAGCAAAGTTTGACGCTCTCTGGGACCCTATCTGAGGCTCTGTCTGTCTGATCTTTGTCTGCACTGCCACATGCAGTGGTATATGGTCGCCCATCTATCACGAGAATTCTGTTCGCGCGTTCAGTCGTTTATTTTGGTCCCAGGCCGCGACTAGCCGTAGCTACTTTTATGGTCCGTTTCTTATCTATTGCGTGGGGATGTAAGTGCTTGTCGTCTTGTTTCACTCGTCGCCATATTTTATTAGATTTCCGCTTTGACCCGCTGGAAATCAAACACTAGCGAGCTGATATCGATATCTTGTGCAGTACGGCCATAAAGTCTGCGACATGCGAAAGGTCGAGATATTAGCACCTTTCAGGCGAGATGTTAGCACCTGTCTGCGGATCCAATAAGCTTGTGTCCAAGTTCTCTAACCGTACATGATATGGCCGTAGCGTCTCATCAGAAATTGCGTTTGATCAGCAATGATGCATCAAGATATCATCGTGTCGCAGGCTCAATCCCATTCCCTCGTCTATAAGCCGCCGTACCCGCGTGCGTTTCAAATTTCCTTACATTTAGTTTTCTTCGCTTTGGCAGTTACGCCTATTAAAAGATATATCCTCCTCGAATGCCGTGTATTTGAGTATGCCGACGAGAATGAGGAGCCTGTCAGATGATGTTTAGGTTCTGTCTAGTCACAGGTGCATTGGAGTGCATTTCCGCGTTCATATACATATCCTGGTGCCTGGCAACGCCACCAAACGATTCTAGCTTCTTGAGCGCTATAGTACCTTGCCATGAATTTAATTATATGCAAGTGGGACCGACATCTGTTATACAGAGGTCGATAGCAGATCTAGGCCATTGTAAATATTTCAAATATTTCAAAGATTTTCGCTCTGCAGCCACTCGCGGAACGGGTCCAAATCGTCGAAGTTGGCATCAATCCATCTTGTCCATCACGATCAAGCGCTTGCATGCGTGGCTTGACAGGCTGTGTCGGGTTTCCTTTGCACGGCAGAGAATGACGGCATAGATACTCAGTGTTCATCAGAAACTATATGGCAGCGTTGGTCCTCAGGGCGATATAACGTCTGTATCGAACAGAAGGTCGGTGCGGGTGACCTTGCCTCCTCTTTCTCACTTACCAGGCTTCAAGTTACTCGTAGTCGACCGGCCGGTGTACTTCTTCTGTCCCGACAGTCCGCTCGTCATGTCCGCTACGAGAGCCCCCGCAGATATCGTATCCTTGTAAGTTCGCCGCAAATGCGGCATTCGACGTAGTTAACGTTTACAATTAGTGTCGGACCGGCAATCGTCGGACTCGCAGGCAACTGCCTCTTGCTGGGCGCGCTCATGGTCCAAGTCTGTGAGTGGAATACGTCCGTTGCTTCGACGTACACCGACGGTACAACTCCACCGCATCATAGATATCTACTCAATCAACTTCCCTAACGATCCGAAGCGATTCAAGTTCTTGGGTGGGTCTACCGTGACTAAGAGTCTCACATGTCTTTCCAGAAGGACTCACGAATATTTCTTCTCATCGCAGTGTACTTCATGACTGCGCTTGAATGTGTCCAGAGCGGATTGA